AGGGCTCAGTGTGCCTGTCACTGAGCTGCAGGCACTGGGGGTGACCCTGCCACCAGCCCCGCTGTGCGGCTGCCTCTTCTGGGGCTCAGGTGGGCTAGGTTGGGCTGCAGGGGCAGGGCCACCCCCAGGGGCTGTGGCTCAGTAACAGCTGCTCCCTGTGCCCAGGCTGGGCAGCACTGCACAGAGCCCCCCTCCCCACTGTGCGGATGCTGGGAGTGGGGGAGGAGGAGAAGAGGGAAGAGTCCCCCTTTGGGGCCAGGCAGCGCTCTGTGCCCAGAGTGCTCCTGGCAGTAAGGGAGCTGCTGGGGTGGGCAGAGCTCTCCACTCTTCCTCCTTCTCCTCCTCATCCCCCCCCCCCCACAGGTGTCTGGCCACGCTCCCTCTTTCTCCACTCTCAGGGGCAATGCATAGGGTGTGCACGTGAGTGCACATGCACCCCCTAAGCATAGCAGTGCATCCCCTACAAAAAGGCACTGCCAACACTGTCAGCGGTGCCTCTCACCACCCTGCTGCCGACATCACCAGCAGCGTGTTCAGTACATGATCGCCACTGGCTGCTGCTGACGTTGGCAGGTGATCGCCAACCCCTGGTCCACACTCACCACCACTTCCTGCCCCCGCCGTTTGCAGGAGCGCCCTCTCTTACCGCTGCTGCGTTCCCGCCACCAGCGCAGCCATGGGGCATGCATCGCTGGGGGAATGCATCATTCATGCCCACTCTCCAAACCCCACAAGCCAAGATGGGGATTTAAACTCCTCCTTAGTCTTACTCAGGCCTGCTGGGGCCTGGCTATGCTCCACTCCCTCAGCTCAGCTTCCTTGTGCTAAGGGAAGGGAGGGTTGCTCTAGTGCCTCTGGGCTTCTGGCCTGAGCCACTGCAGGCATGTGCCTGCATTTCCGAAATGAAAAGGAAATGTCTATTCACTTGCAAACCAGATCAATTGTTGCAGGTTAGACTAACCTGCAAGGATTGAATCTATTCAGGCATAGGCTTTTTTAATATCTGTCCCTAGCCCAAAAGGGAAGGATACAGGCTGCTTCCATTATACTTACAGACAGCAAATTTAGAAAGGAGGAAAAAAGAAAAAGAAAGAAAGACAAATTTGGAATAGTCTGAAGGGAAAAAATATAGACTAAAAGTCCATGGAATCAGCATGGTGGCTATTAAAACAATACAAAACAAAACAAAAAAATGTGGTTAAGATATGTATATCATAAAAAAGAAAAAGAAAATTAGGAAGCAGATAAAATACACAAGAATGAATAAGCACAATAACTTCTTGTAGCAACAGTTCAACACTACATAGCAAGATGCATTAGAAATATATAATTAAAAATGGAAACTCTATCTAAGAGACACTAACAGAAAGGAGTATGAAGGCAACCAGATAATATCTGAGTAATATGGTATATACATTTATAAGGCATTGTACCCAAGAAGAAGAAGCATTAGAACACTCCTGAAAGTAAAACTGTAAGGAGTCACAATTTTTGGATAGTGAAAGAGAGTCAGGTATTTATAATATTGTCAAAATATGTAATTTATCTTTATATCTGGTACTATATTGGAAAATAAGTCATTAGCAGTATAACAAGTACATGACATTTGTTTAGAGTCTCAAAAAACCACCAACTTTAAATAAATGCATTTATAAGACAATATCAAAGTAGTACGAGCCACATGAGGTTAAAGACACCTATCGTTTATTTAAAAACTAGTTAAAAGTCTGAAAACAGAGAATTGGATAAGTGGACAGCAGTTCTTTGTGTAAGGAACTGTTTTGTAACTATCTGGGAAATAGGATGTAAAGCAAAAGGGATTTTTCACAAAACTTCATTACTTTATTTTCTCAAGAATACAGAAGGTGGTGAGGAAAAACCCTACAATACTAAGCAGTGCAATGGGTGATTCAGCTCAATGCAGCCAAGAGCTTGTACACCTTATTTGCACTAACACAAACACCGTAAAGTGTGCTTTGTCTTCTCCAAAACATTACTATATAAAACAAACACCTTAGTGATCAGATAACGTATTGTGTGGGTCTGGTCAGTGTTACATTAGCACGTTTACTGACAAACACAAGCTTTTATTGATTTTTTCCATTTCTGTCATAGCAAAGATATACTGCTACTTGAGAGTGACCTGCAGTCTGTTCCAGCATATGAATCAGCAAAACTGTTTTGATCAAATTCCAATTGCAGATAGTTTGCTCAAAGAGACAAGGGTGCTTGCTTAGTCCAATGTGATGGTTAATAAAGTGTCAAACCGTCTATTTTCACACAGTCTAAGACTTCAGGTTTACTATTTATTTCCTAGCCTTATTGTGATGAGAATGTATGACCTGTTTTGAAGCAGCTGCCTGCACGTGGATACTGCATTTCGTACATATGCAGGTTCCTTCTAAATAGTGCCGAACAGTTCAATAAATAAGAGATACAAGTCTATGGAGAATTTATAAGACAAATTAAACTAAAGTGTGTTAATAAATACTAAATGCAGAGTGAAAAAGTAACCAACTGCATTGCACTACAACCCATTCACTCTTATTTTAAAGCTGATACTTGATTTTACGAAATATCTGGCAATCAAAAATATGAGTAAAGCAATAAGACCCAAGGAATGAACATTTGATGTGAGGTGTATTCAGTAGGTAGTATGTATAATATAATTATGTTATTGAATAACCTTAATCAATGGGGAAAACAACAAATACATCTAAAAATTCAACATGCCAAGAGTCATATTATTTTTCCTGAAAGTTATCAACAATCTTAATATAAGAAAGCTTTATTAAATGTTTTTTACATTTATTTTTCAAGCCAAGAACATAATATTCAGTTAAGGCAAAAATATTATAATGAACAGGTATTCTGTCTAGAAATCGTCAAACAGGAATAGAAGCACAAAATATGATTTGTTTATATTTATATATCAAGTGATTTAGGAATCTAGGTACAGTTCTGGTTGAGCCTTTACATATTAGCTTAAAAGTTGCTGTATCATGAATGTTTTTAGTCAATGGGTATTACCTTTGCTGACAAGAATTTTATAACACTCTGCTTAGACCAGGGGACAAGTGTCACATATTCAATTTAAATTTCCATGTTTTGAGATGGAAACAACTTGGGAGACTATGTAGGTAGAATCAGTTTTACCTTACAGCTGCATCCACACAAGCGTGGATGTTTGGTTCCCTGGGACAATTAGCAGCGGCACACCTTGCCACTAGTCATCCCCACAGAATGCCTGTACCACACACCCTGTGATGCATGGCAGGTTACTCCACGTGGGATAGGGAAGGCTGGGGCCACCACTGGGCTGGCCCCAGCAGCCTTACCTGAGGTCCTAGGTGCCTCCTGGGGCTGCAGTAGCAGCAATCCTGCCACTCAGTGTGGCTCTGGCCAGCCAAGCTCTGATTCTGAGTGGCACATACTGCCCCTGCATGCACTACTCTGCTTTTTTTTTTTTTGTATGGGGTTTTTTGATTCCTGGATATCCAGAGGTCAAACCACTCCCCCCTGCACTGCTCCCTTCCAGTGCAGAGAATAGCTAAGTGTGCGGCACCACATACCGCACAGCCATGCTCATCTGGACACATGGGCAACTGGTGCCTCTTGAGTCAGCAACTGTGCGGGGGGGTGGGTCTTTTGCTCCGGTGGCCCTGCTTCCTGGCCGGTGCTTGCAGTGGGGGCACTGGTGCTCCTGCCTGCCCCACTGCCTGTTGCCTAAACAGGGAACACGGCCTGACGGGGGGTGCACCGGTGCTCTTAGGGGGTGCATGTGCATCCCTGTGCACCACCTACGCATTGCTGCTGTCTGGACACAGCCTACCTGTCTGTTGAGAGAGGGTTTGGAGACAAATGTAGAACAAAAGGACAGAAGCAATGAAGCTTATGAGACAAACTAAGCAGGGCGCTCCAGACACACAGAGGAAGAGCCAAACAGAAGAACAGAAAAGACAAGCATGCTTTTGCATGATTTGGATATGGGAGCAACCAAGGCTGGAATGACAAATTGGGTGGAAAAACTCCATGGTTCAGAAGTAAAACATAAGTTGCACAGGAAGATTCTGGACCGCCCCAGAGAACCTAAATTTAGACCAAAGAATACTCCAGAATTATGAGAAAACAGAGGCATAGAAATGAATACACCATTCATTATTTTTGTCCAGATCTACATATTGTTCGTGTTGCTAATAAAAAGCAATAATATTATAATCCTGGTCCACGTTCATTTGTGTCCAAGTGCTTGTATACTGTGTACTTTCACTATTGTGTGCAGATTACCTCTAGATTAAATTATACCAGAAAATCCATTTAGCTGAAATTCTGAGGATGGGAGGGGAGAATTTAAACCATGAAGAAATCAGAGTCTAGTGGCACAGAGTCTAGTGGTTCTCAACCTTGTTTGTCCTGAGCAACCTCTCTTTAGATTCAAGGCCTCCCCTTGGAAAATGTGAGATCTTTGTTTTCACTCATTTTTGACTCCAGAAAAACAGAGTAATTCTTCTGTTCCAAAGAGTTTGGGATTTATCTTATTAATCAAGTCTGTACACCTAAGTGGCAACCTTGATTTCAAGGCATAGCAGGGTTAAGAATCACTGGTCTAGGGAGACTGAATATGTATACAAAGAATGTCTAAAAACGTCAAGTTGAGGGCAGTACCTGGAATTAATCAAGAGTCTGGTGAGTGTCCAAGCAGGGAGTTCACTTGAATCTATTTGAAGCTGAATGTCCAGTAGCAGTGTTATTTTGACACGTGTTAAACAATTATTTCTGATTTTTTTTAAATGCTTACTTGGGTAACAAGAGTTTTGTTACAAATCATGGCAGCAATGAAAAACTACTTTATAATTATTTTTTTTTCCCCATGCGGAACAAATATTTGGATAATATATGCTTAGGTAACTCAGACCAACCATTGAAGATATACATAGCAATTTCCTAAACAAAATATACAGCTTTTAGGTAAAGATATACTGATTTTATTGTTGCTGTACCTCTGTCTCTGATTCTGTCCTTCCCTAATGAGTCCAGTTTCTTTCTTAATGATTTCTTCCTCTTTTGTCCATCTGTAGGAGGAACAATAAGAAATATATAAGAAGGAAGAATAAAGAAGTGTTGCATATGCACATACAGAAGCTCAGATTGTCCATGTTACCTGGGTGAGCACATAGAGAAAGGGAAACGTACAGGGTTTTTTTTTCCTTTCATGTGTGTCTCGTAAGTGCCAGATACAGTCATAGGGAAGCACAGAGACTGTTCCCTTTGTGTGCCACAAACATGGAAGGGTGCAAAAAAGGGGGTAATAGTCTGCACACCCACACACACCAGATTGCATATAGTGGAAGCTGAAGATATGAATTTATGCATCAGTACTAGATTCTGCTGGAAGAATGGTGGGAAGCAGTTTCCCCAATTCTAAAGAATACTTATGTCTCCTCAGCAGCAGCCATGTTACAGTTACACTGATACAGAGTTGCTATTTGAGTCAACAAACCCCAAGTATGAATTCTGCAGGGCAGTAGGTTCACTTGGTTGGCAAATGACCCAGCTTCAAAACCTGATTCCTCAGATAATAAGCTTGCAATGTGAGTATGGCATGTCCTGATTAGTCAGATGGAGAAGAATTTTAGAACAGTTGTTTCAATATAGCATATTTTCCAAGGGTTTTTAAGGTGTTAGGCACTGAAGATTTTGTGCAAGGTAGGCAGGTTTATTCTTGAATCAACTATGTCAAAAGGTTGGCTACCACTACTTCCTGCAGCAGCATCTTTTATAATGAAGTCAACGAAAATGACATTTTTATTAGGTGTAAACACAATACTGAAGGTTAAGTTATGTATCTGCTTTAACATGTCACTTTTAACATCCTAATCCTAAAGAAATATAATAGACCTATACTGAATGTACGCATTACCTGAACTAGTGATTAATGGCTGTTTACTCTGACCTTGCTCTGTTTGTAATACTATTATATACTACAAAAGGAAACTTTGAATACCTCTGATTAATCTGTATGGTGGGAAAGACAACAAATAATTTGCCTCAACATGTTTTCTTACATCAAGTCAAAGGCACAAACAATGTTTTATGCTTAGGAGCTTATTATATAGGATTGAAAGGGACCTCCTTGGTCCTTGACATCAGTTCCCAAAGACATCTTTTTCCCTATTCAAACATTTACCAAGTTTTATCTTTAAACTGGTTAGTAGTTTTGCCCTCTCTACCTACTGGGAGACAGTTCCAGAACATTATAACTCTGACTGTTAGACTGTTTTTTTTTCAACCTTTCAATTTCCGGCCTAAATATGTCTACAGCCACTTTATACAGATGTACTCTTGTGCCAACATTGTCTTTTACCTCAAATAACTTGTTTTCCTTCCCTGATGTATTTTTATACTGAAGTCATATCCCCTCTCTCAATCCTTACTTTGCCAGCACAAACTAGTCAAATGCTTCAGATCTCCTCTCATTGTATGGGCCCTTATTTCCCCCGATCTTAACAGCCCTTTTCTAAACCTGTTCCAGTTTGAGGTTATTTTTCTTGATCAAACACCAACTGTACACAGCATTCCAGAGATTGTCCTACGACAACTTTGTACCTGCTCCTTTGCCTGTTTCAAAGATGCATCAGAGTCGTCCTGTGATTGATTAATATACCCAGGTCTTTCTCCTTCTCTGTCACTTCAAATACGTGGGCTGCAAGCTCACAGCAGAAATTCTTCTTTAGTCTAAAAGCATGACTTTGCACTCTGTACTTACAGGCTAAGGACAGACATTACACATAAACCGGTTTAAGTGATCAGAAACTAGTTGAAACCTGTAACAGAACAGATGTTCAGTGCATATAAACCAGTTTGAAAATGCCTAAAATCAGTTTGAGATAAACCTGGTTGAATGTATTACCAGACTTAACTGATTTGGGTCAAACTGTTTATGCAATGTTTGTCCCAGACCCCTTCCTGGTTTAAGTTAAACTATACTCCTCCAGCATCCCAACATGCTCTCCTGGCTGGGCTCTCTGCTCCACAGCAGAGCTGGCCCCTCCCCTCTGCTCCCTGGCTGCTTCTCTCACAGGTATTTGCCTGGCTTCCCCCTGCTCCCCTGTCCCGTTCCCATCCCCTCTGCCTTACACAGACACCTCTCAGCATTAGCTAGCATACCACATGCTGGCTATGGTCCCTGCTGTGGAAGACTGGTTCCTTCCTTGGAAAACCTGTTTAAGAAGAGCTTAAACTAATGAAGAAAGGCTATGTTTTCTGATGAGTGATAACACAGTGTTTATCCCCTAACTCAGTGTTTATCAACTCAGTGGGCTACTCAGGAGGAGGTGGGGGGAACCCCTCCCTAATCAGAGCATCCTGCCAAGGCCTGGCCACATCCCCCCCAGCTCAGCACCAGAAGGGAAAGGAGGGCTGCTCTAGTGCCCCACAGCTTCTAACCTGAGCCACTGCAGGCATGTGACTGCATTTCTGGGATGCCTATGCGGTTACAAACCAGTTTAGCCTAGCTAAGTTAGACTAACCTAGAAAGATTGAATCAAGTCAGGCTCAGGTTTTTTGAATGTCTGTCTCTAGACACAAAGTTTTTCAGCAGGTGCATTACAGTCTAATTAATAGTATCACTCATTCTTTAAAGCAGTGGTTCTTAAACTTTTTTGTACCAGGACCCATTTGTAACATCAATGGCCAGTCCTGACCCAGTACCCCTCACTCCCAACCTGCTGCCTCCACCCCAACCTCCAGGCCCCATCTCCCCAGTATGTGGGGCAGGGAATGGGTGTTTGGAGCAGGGAAGTGTATGTGGGGCATAGGGGTGGGGGAACCCAGGCAGCCCCTTGCAGGCTGGAACTCTGACAGCCTGCAAAGTAGAAAGCCATGGTTTCCCACATTTTTCGCCTTTAAAGGAGAATCTATTTTTAAACTTCAATCCATTTTTAAAGTTCATTCATAACCCTTCCATAATATTCTTGTGGCCAGCTTTTGGGTCGCAACCTAAAAGCAGGTCGAAACGCTGCTTTAATGGGTACCCACAATACCACTGGCTAGATAAAGCTGTTTCTGTACACTTTTTAATACAGAATGGTAATACTGTCCCTGTATATGTTACGTTACAGAACATATATCTTCAAATTCAGCTGTTAAATGCACTATGGGAAATCCACTGATAATCAGCAAGGCCTGCACCTGCATTTCTGTCTTCTTTTTGAAAAGATGATATTTGCCTTTCAGTCATGGCATTTTAATGATTTGAATTCCAATTCTACAGTAGCCTTTTGATAAATGACTATTCCATCTTGGCTGCTTACAGACATGAAAACAAACCTTAATGCTTTACTTTCAGCTATGTAGCGCAGGGCCTTGGGAAGCAGCCTAGCTGGACTGTCTCCTGTGCCCAGCGTGCTGTAGCATGGACCTCCGGGAAGTTGGGCTGTCTCCCGCTCCCAGTGCGATGTAGTGGGGGCCACTGAGAAGCTGTCTAACTGGGCTGCCTCCCGCCCCCTGTCGGATCTTGTGCTGGGGTTGGGAAGTCAGCCCAGCTGGACTGACTTCCCATCCCCAGCCTATGGTCAAAACATTTTGACTTTTGAAACGTTTCGATACCAGCCTCGTTTTTTTTCAAGGCTATTAAGACTGCCTTTGTTTTGTTCCAATGTTGCCGTTTCAACCTCAAAATTGGTTGAAACGGTGTCAGAATGAAACGGCCGGTGAAATTTTCCACAGCCCTACTAAATACAAGGAGATTGCATCCAACCACAAATTAAGACAATTTGTCTAGAGCAAGTGAACAAATATGGATATAGTCCTTTGATTTTGATACAAAGGATAGGCTGATTACCCTTAGTTGCAAATTTTAAACTCAGGAACTCTTTTCTCAGAAAATTACTCGCATGAGTAGATCCTTTGATTTCAGTTTTAGAATAATTAATCAGTAAGAGCACCTACACATGTGCATCAAGGCTGCTCCAATGTGCTGTAATTACACTTGATTAATCGAGTCTTTTGGAGCATGGCAATTACCGCATCACATGCATCTGTGTCCCTACACTGAAAAATGGTGGCAGGAACACTTTAACTAAAGCTTGTTCAACAAGCTTTAGTTAAAGAGCCCCTACCGTCATTTTTCAGCGTGGGGTGCTAATACAGTTCCAGTTAGGCTCGGAAGCGGCGAGAGACGCGCGGGTGAAAGCTCGCTGCGCCCCCGCTCCCCCGAAGCCCCCCAGAAGCCCCCCAAAACCCTCCAGCAGCC